GGCCAGGGACTCCTGCGAGCTGTCCGCAGCCCTCACCAGCCAAACCAGCCGCCTTTCTGGAACCGGAGGTGGAAGAGGCCTTCAAGTTCAGATCGTTGCGGTGGGGCTTTTCAGGCAAAAATAAATATTTTTCTGAAAAGGCTGGTTGACAGCTTCTAAACAGAAACGGGGATAGCTGGCATTTACGCTGCATAATTGCCTCCACATGCTTAAGTTTATTTAGCTTCGCACAGCTACAAAGCAAAAAAAACAAACCAGGTCATCATAACATTTCACAACTGCGGGGGAGAGGCCTGGCATCGCGCATTCCTGATGCTCAGCTGCAGTGGGTACAAGGCCCGTGATGCAAAACCCTGGGGCCTTGGTGGATGGGCACACCTGGATGTTAAGCGACACGAGGGCTCAAAAGTGACAGGATTTCTGAAGGTATTCGCACCGGTGGAGGCTGGCCCAGCCACCGCTGCTGGCAACAGTGGCTGAGACTCCTTGAGACTCTGTGATCGGCTCCTGATTGGGTCTGCCAAGACCTTGAAGAATGATCGGCATCTCCGGTACCCGTGAGCTTTCAAAAATCTTAATACACCTCAGCTACAAAGATTTCCAAGCGATACGCTGTTGTGCCAGTGTCAGGTGGGGATGGCAACAAGCCTGCAGTGTAAGATTCAGAAAGGTGTTTGAAAATATCTTCAGGTGTTTTGCTGTGATTCATCTTTCTGCTATGCCCTCCTGTGAGCTGCAGTTGAAAGTCATTAGAGTTAGACCCAAAGAAAGTACCTGGGTACGGAGGGTCCAGGGCCCTGGACGGTGCGCTTTTGAAGTGTCTGGCTTTGGAAGGGAATTTGGAAAGCTAGGTTAGAGTCTGCGGCTCACTGAGCAGTGTCTAGGGAGAATTTGGATCTCCAGAAGGAAAACCAGACAGTGCTGTGACCAAGGAGCTGTCTAGGGTCAGTACATTCAGTCCCAGGCAGCCAAAACTGCTGAACCTTTTCTCAGAGCTGCCGAGAATCGCCTCCACCAGTTTGGAGTCCAAAGATCAAAACCATTTCCTGAAGGCAAAATTTATAACCTTTCTTTGTCAAGCTGTACTTTAAAAAGCCTAATACCCTGATTGCACGCAATGGTCTTATTCTTCAAACTCTTATTCACGATATGGGAGGCTGATGTACACTTCCCTGCTGTCTGATGGCATCCAAATTCACGTTTCCTAACGTGAACGTTCAGGCGCTCCTAACGCCTGAACGATAAATAACTGTGCATGTTATCCAATGACTGTTTTAATGAAAAATATAGGAACAATCAGTGGAACAGAGTGATAGTGTTTGCTTTTGTTAGAACCCCTTGTTGCTGAGGGGGAATCCAGTCTTGCAGCTGCAGGAGAATCCTTGCTCATAGGATAGCTATACGATAGCTCATAAAAGTCCATTCCAAAGGGAATCCATGGAGAACAGTAGAAGACAACACCCAACAGAAGAATGGGTGTATATTTCAAAAGTTTCCTATTAATTTCCTGCAATTAGGCCTTACTAGGAAGAGCTGAAATGTGGCATGCTCCATTCAAGTCTTAGCACATATACTAAGACCATTCTCTCTCAGCCTTGACTTTGTCCATCATAGATGGAAACAGTATAGCAGCCCTACTGCCTGCGAGAATGAAAAGTTTGGGTTCCTGCTTTATTACTTACGGAGATGGAGCTTACACCAATGGTGTTCAGCTTCATTTTGTAGTAGAGCTGGCTCAGGAGCTCTCTTTCAGTAACTGCTTTTTGCTGAATAAATGTAAGAAAGTCACAGCTACTTGTGGGAAAGATTGCAGCAGGTTTCTAGCTTAAAAATTAGTCGAGGGAAAAAAAATTAGAACTATCAAAATATTCTATAATGGATATTTACTGAATGAAAAAGTTCTGTTTTTTTCAGTTCAGAATGACTGCTCGTTTCAAAACTCCTGTTACAAATTAGTAGAAAAAACAATAGAAAAGAAAATATTTTGAGTGGCCCTCAGGCTGACTGTTACATTTTATTTTGGTGCATAATTTTGACTTGTTTCCCACTGAGGGAAAAAATTATTCACAAAAGTTCTCCCTGGAGAACTATGTTATTATTAACTTAGGTAAAAACATAATCCTAATTCTAAGTCTTTCTTTTTCTCAGAGAACAAACTCGCATCTCTCTGGCCATTCTCCTACTCTTCCCTAAGTCAGCTATCTTCTCTCTTCTTAAAGATCCTACTATGAAAGGATATAGTCTAAACCATGGTTATTTCCGCGGGTTGGTTAACTGAATAATACGTTAGGTCTGAGCCAGTGTAATTTCCTTCAAGAGAAAAGGAGTGGATTTCGTAAGAATTTGATGACATGAAGGCTTTGAAAGTAAATCTTTTTCTCCCACATGCTCAGGCAAGATTTGCGGTGTGAGCATGTTGCCAAGAGTAACTTACTGTAGACCTTTCTTATGTAAATAAAAGTGAAAACAGTGCACGAGTGCAAACATCTACTCCACATTTAGTGGAGTAAGATAAACTCATTGAACTCAGTGACCTCATTTCTCTTTCAGTTGCATAAAAGGACTTGCTCTTTCTTGTACTGGTCCTTGTTGTTGTTGTGAGTGTGGTTAGCTTCACCTTGCAGTTCGGTGGGATCCCTTCCATGGTGTGTATAACCCCCACGCCCTTCATTGTACGTCTCCTTTGCGGTTCTTTTTCACATTTTCATTTCATGTTACTTGCTGTAGCCTTTTGCAATACAGCTCAGTGGGAAAGAGTCTTCCCATGCTCTTTGCTGCCTAAGTAAGTTGTTTTGAATTACCAAACTCTCTACCCTTTTCCCTGAAGTTACACAGAGCTCTTTCTCAGTCTTTGAGCATCTTGAAACACCCACACATCAACAATGTTTGTTAATACAAGATGCATTAGAAATGGAGAAAACTTAATGGAGACTTAAGTGGTTGGTTTATCTAGATTTAGCCTTTATGAAGTGGATCACTATTAGCAAAAGCCGCACAAAGTTGTACTATTTTAATTGTGCCAGTATACTAAAGGGGTACAGCTTCCGTATCATGTAGGCACAGAGCTAGCAGTAGCATGGCATTTCCGATATTAGACAACGTGACTTATTGTGGCATGAAGGTCCTTATGTCAGAATGCCTATGTCTGGCCTTCTTGTACCAGCGTTGCGGGAGAATGGAGGTTGAAGAAAAAAAAATCCCCTTCTAAGGGTGTTCTTCTTTTCCAGAAAGACATGCCAGCTCTTAATGATACAAGTCTTAAGTATTTATAGGACAAAACCCCCTTAGTTTTTCATTCTTTTGTGGTCTGAGAAAAGGAAGGCAGATTTTCTCAGATTTCTAACTTCGTTCTTTCAAAGAAAGAAAATCCCTCCTGTTAGTCAAAAGCAACATCACCATTTCATCATTCAAGCCCTCCTCTATGTTCATATATATCCAGCATTAGAGTTATTAAATTGCATTAGGTCCTTTCTGCAAGTCATCCCAATAAACTTCACCCTCTGTGAAGGAAACTGCTCTTTTCCCTTGCTGTAGTGCTTTGCAGATAGTTCTGCAGCGTCAGCTGGAGCCATGAAGCCAAGGGGAGTTTCTGCTGGCTGTTTGTGTCTGAGATGGAAGCTGGAGATTCCCTTTTGCTGGGAAATCCCTTTATGGTTAAGCACAGTAGAAGACCTTACTCCACCTTTGTGGACAGTGCTTTATAATCCCGTAATTCTGGCCCAGCAGAACAGCTGTTGCCTCATGCTGGTTTTATTTAAAATAAAAGGTAAGAGCTATCTCTGCAACCCTGCCCTTCCTCACCGCTACTTGGCATCTCAATATCAACAGGGAATATACCAGAGTCCAAAATATTAGCCATGTATTCCTGTTACTCCACAATCCATCCTGTTCCACAAATGTTTCTAGTGGTGGAACATCTCTCAGTTTACCGGGAACTTTTTGTGGCCCATACTGGAAGTCTTTCTACAAGGCCTACAACTGCAGCGTCAGTCTTGCTCTTTTTTGACTTTTGTCGTTCATCTTCAGTAAGAACTGCTGACAAACTACCTGGAATTAGGTCTTCAGTTACACCTGTACAGGTAGAAATAATTTCCTTTCTAAAAGCAGCGCTGTCAGTGCCAGTTTCAAAAGTCGGTATCTATTTCTTGAAAAATACACATAAGCAGGAGTAGAGTCCCGTTCCCTCCTTAACCATCGCCCTGCTGGATTCTTTCATCTTAAAGCATTACAAACTTATTTGCCACTGAATCTGGAGGCTGGTTCTAAACTCACAGCAGGTCTGTCAGTAACATGCCCTGTCTGTAGTGTCACTCAGCCTTTCTTAGTCTGCACAAGTTTGTCTTTTTTCTTTTTTCCTTTTCTTTTTTTTGGTGGGGGGAGTGTTGGCAGAATCACAATGGAGTTTGGGAGAAGAGTTTTCCTCAGGGAGATATCAGATGTGCTCATTTGATACTTTACCAAATAGAGCAATAAATATATTAAATGTTTCCCAAGGGCAGTAGTTGCATTCAATAGTCATACATCTGAGGAAACTAAACTCTTCTGTAGAGAGGTATGTGGCCAGGCATTTGAACGGAAATAAACAGCAGGATTTCAGGCAAAGGCTTTATCTGATGAACTACTGATGCGGTCTGCTCTAATCCCTCCAAAAGCAATGAATAGGAGTAACCAGGATGTGGCCCAGAGGGTATTGAGTTCAGTGAAGCATAGCCCAAGTGCCTTTTGGCTGACTAATGGTAAAGGGAAATAGAGTTTTCATATTTTCTTATGGCTCTAATGAAGACAATAGAAGCAAAATGCACTCAGTTCACAGGAATTCACTACTTAAAGTTCAAACTCATCTCTTTGTGGTTTTACAGAAGTACTGCTGGATTAATAGTATCTTTTACATATCTATTACACCTTTCATCAGAAAATAATCTAAAGACCACAGACAAGGATTGTTTCACGCACACCCTCCCTGGGATGAAACACAGCAATGCTCCATGATAGTAAAGACCATCAGAAATCTCCTATTTATTTGCCATTTCTGGGAAATTTAGAGACCAGATGTTATTACCAAACTGTAGTCGTAGGCAAGATGATGATAATACTAATAACTAGCACTCCTCCTCTCTGAACACTTGCAAATGGTCATAGCCGTGGTGTTGTATATGATTCAGAAGGCAATAGCTGCAAATGGCATAGAAGCTACTAACAGCTGGTTGGGGCTCTGAGTTCTGTACTGGCTCAGGGGGGAGACACCGCTTGCTTAGTCACTAACTTGACCTAAACCATCTTTCTCGTATATTGGCAAGAGT